TTCTGCTTTGAAACTTACGTCTCAGGTAGGGTCTTACACTTGCCCTTTGAAGTATGCCTAGGGAGCGGGAAGTTTAATAAGTTTAAAAATGTCACACTCATGAGTCACGACCATTAAACTTGTCTCTTTGTAATTTTCCTTAACTTAGATAGAGTATTGGTGCGATTTTAGATATACCCCTTATTACTCACCGCTCTATTATTCGTCCATTTGCATTACAAGGTCCACAAAAATAAATTCTCACGTTTTTATTTATCCATTGTATTATTATTTTTTGGTCACTTATTCATTTTTTGAGTAAAATGTTAAATTGTTTTTGGTCACTTATTCCTTCTCAATGTGTTAAATGTTTAGATACATACATGATACATACACTAACTAACTTATAAATCTGGTAGTTAACCAAATCATATAAGTAGCTTTCCAAAAGGTAAATTCAAGACAGGAAAAACAAAAACTTCTATAAAAAATAAGAAGAAATAAAATTGATAAATTTTCTAGACACGATGAACATGGACATACATTATTTATGAGGTCCAAAAAATCTTTCTATAATTCTATTTGAAAGGACAAGAAGATTCTCTCAGATTTCTGATTTTTTTCGGAGCAATTATGGGATCATTACCGGACCAAAACAGAGAGAAGCTTCTCTCTCAGTCCAAGAAAGGTTACTCAGATTTCGGTTTAAACGACTCAAGCGACTTCTCCGATGGCCGGAACTCCAAGTTCCGGTGTTGCTCGTGGAAGGCTTTCTACGAGTTAGCGGCTAAGTTGTATGCGATGAGACATTCTGATCGTAGGAAGCTTTACTTCGCCATTAAGATGGGAATCGCTCTAGCTCTCTGTTCTTTGATCATTTTCCTTAAAGAACCACTTCAAGATGCCAGTAAATATGCTGTTTGGGCGATCCTTACTGTCGTCCTCATTTTCGAGTATTACGTAGGTATTGATTCGTAAACTTTGCCCCAAGTTTATCCATTGATTGGATCTTTGAGTTTTTGTTTTTATGTTTCTTTGAATCCATTTCATGGAGTCTTGAACTCAAGACACTTGCACGTGCTAAATGGATTCACTTGTGTTTTTTGTTTGGATTCTATATTTCCATATTGATCGGTTCGGGATAACTTACTTTAGTTGCAATTTACTGTTTTAATCACATTTTCAATTTGATTGTGTGTCAAGTTTGCTCGTATT